TTTTGTTTTGTTTTTTTGGATTTTAAGTTTAAAAATATTTATAATATAATATATTTTATTTAAAGCCACATGGATGTATACTATTGGATGTGTGGGCTCCACACATGTGCCACGTCAGCTACTTAACAGAAAATTTGACGGAAGCTAACGGAGGGACTATTTTGATATGTGAAGGGTAACCTTAGGGACCATTAGTGTCACAAAAAAACGTTAAGGACGAAATGCGATAATTTTGCAAACTTAAGGGACCATTTGTGATAAAAAGCAATAAAGTAAAGATGACATAAAGTGGACCTCCTGCGGACAAGAAAAGGCAGCTCAGCTAATGCGAAAAAGAAAAGCAGAAAAACAATGTGTCAATGGTCCCATACGTGTGCTAGTGTAGTACAAACGACAGTTATTGATAAAGCTCTAAAGAAAGAAAGATGTGGTTCTCATTTCACACTTCACATCAGCAGATAGTGTGATTTGATCAAGTTGACACCACAAGTGGAGTCAAGACTCGGCCATCTCCTTCCAAGCTATAATCAGAGAACAACTTCAATTACTTGATCAAATACCCAATTCAAGAAATATTCTTGGATTTGCCACTGCATGGCCTTACATACTTATCCATATAAAATTGTAGAATTAAAACAATAATCGAATTGTGTATGAACATGTGTATTTCCCTTTGTTTTCACCACTTCGATTAAAAGCAAATGGATATAATTTTCAACCAGATTCACATTCAAATTCAAATTAAATTGGAAAAAATATAAATATTAGTATTAATATTAAACATTTAATTTTTTAACATTTAATTAATATTAGTATTAATATTAAACATTTAATTGAAAAAAAGGTTGGGATTTTTTACCGAATCGGACCAATCTCTTCATTTAATTTAGTTTTATTGAAGAATCTAACCAAACCAGATCCAGTTCAGTCCAACTTAGTATTGGCATTCAGGCATTCCAATTACTATTAGTTTGTGTTGCCATGTCAACTGCTTTGTGACAGAAGTGTGATTTATATCGGAGCTCTGTTGGTTTTGGGACCTCTCTAATCTCACAGGGAAAGAAATGGGAGCAGAGGTCGCCCAAATGGCAGTCCACTGATTAAAGTTGCTTTAACAAAGCGGGCCAGCTTACTAGCTTAGGTGTATATATAAGTTAACAATGACATACACACCTCCTTTTACATGATCAAAGTTGCTTTAACAAAGTTTGGGTTTGGTTGGTGGAAAAACAATAATTGAGTGCCTTTGATTTGATATAATATATAGCTCCTGTGTCTTCATTATTACCACCCTCACTGATTAAGTGTCTCCTTCCTTCGCATGCACTTTCAGTTTCTTGCAGCAACCTTCAGTTTCTTCATTGCAGCAACCAGCTTTTGCTTAGATATATTTCTTTACTTTCCTAATTAAAAATCCAATCAAAAAAACGAAAAACAAAAAAAAAGTATTGCCTTCAGATATTCTGGTTTTCGTTTCACACCCTCGATTTCGTTCTGTTATCATCACCTTCGTTTGCTTTTACTTTCAAAGGAAAAAAAAAAAAAAAGTAGTGGCAGTTCAGCTTTGTCTCGTTTGAAGGGAACTGATCTCATTCATAACCAAAAGAAAAGAGAGAGGTATAAGGTGCGTCTTTTTATGTCCTCCTTTGTTTCTCTCATTTTCCTCTGCTATTTTATGTTCTTATTTTTGTTGCAGGTAGCTTTCTTTTATTTCAGAAGTAAATCCAACTAATTTTTTTCGTTTAGTAAATTACAAATTTGTTCGTTCCATTAAAGAAATAAAGAAAACTAAAAAATTAAAAGGAAATGGCCCAATATTTTTATTTTTTATTTTTTATGTCTCTCAGCTTTGCTATTGTGTTGGTTGCAAATGGAGTCATATGTGAACTCTTTTGTTAATTTTGTTTTTCCCTGCTGTATTAAGTTGCATTTGGTGCGTGCATCTAGTGATTGGGAAATGCTTACTTTGTGATTTGTGCAATTCAATAAATTGTAATCAAATTCATAAATTCTGGTATTTCTTCCAGTACTCTGCTCTTTTACACATCTCTTTTGTTGATCCCTCAAACTGATGAAGTTTATCTCTACGATGAGAGATTGTAACCAAAAGTTTTGCATGTTATGGTACTTGCTTCAAACTATCCAAAAATGTATTGTCATAGACACCGAAGCACCCCCAAAACAATTCTTTATTTGAGATGTTTTGGAAACTATGGGATGTTTTGATGAGTTCGATTGGTACGGTGGATTGTCATGGATTGGACTAAATTTTGGATCTGTAGTCTTGAATGAAATAGGATTGGCCTAAGCTAGATTAAGTACTGACTTACTTTTGGTATTGCTTCAAACTAAGAAGCTGGATTGTAAACATAATGAAGTGCTATTTCGGACTAAAAAATAATTCTTGTAATATTTAAATTTAATTAAGGATTTTGACTTAAAAAATAAATAAATGCCGGAAAGAAACCCAATTCAAAGATTTAAAACAATAATAAAAAGAAATCAAATAAAATTCTTATTTTTTTAAGGAAGCTGATTTTTAATATTTTTCAAAATAATATTTATAAACCAAAACAAATATCCCAAACCCCACCCACCCTTCTGTCATCTCTCTCCCCCTCTCTTTCTCCTTTCGACAACAACGAAGCCCCCCCTCCCCTCCTCCTTCTTTCTCCCTATTTTTCTCTCTTTCCCCCCTCTTTCTTCAACAACAGAATCCATATCCGGTTTATTTTTTTATTTTTAATAAACATTCAAAGATAGGTTTCTAGATAATGATTTAACATCCATGGGACCTTTCTTCTGAAGTTGAAAAAGAAAATTTGGCTTTTTGAATTTGCTTCTACCCTAATGTATTGCATCTTACTTTTCTTCATTTGGAAGCCTCCAATGTTAAACAACTATTAAAAGATTAATAGGGAGAGACTTGCATCGTCAATTACCAAAATAGAAAAAGAAAAAAGAAAAAAAAAGACTATATGTGACTCAATTTAAATAATAGGTGGTGGTTCTGAGTCTTATTTAAAAAAGACTTGAATTTTCAATTGATTCGAGATAGGGGCATAAGAGCTGAATCCTTGGTTTATACAAACGTTATGGCTTCTTTCTTTTATGTATGACATGTGACATTACCATAAGATTATTATCCAATTTATTTTTATGTTTTTGTCCTTTTTAATTCTACTACTTACCATAAGATTATTATTGTCATCCACACTCTCTGATTAAAATTCTCTTGCGCACTTTCAGTTTCTTCATTGCAGGCTATGTAGTCCCAGTTCTATAAGCGAAAGGAATTTGAAGAGCCGTTGGCCACATTCATTACCAAAAGCGCAAAAGGTATAAGGTGCGCCTTTTTGTTTCCTTCTTGGTTTTCATTTCCTCTGCTATTTTCTTTCTTATTTTTGTTATGGGAGCTTTATATGAAGTCTCAATTCTTTCATAACTAAAATCCAAATACTTTTGTAAAGAACCCACTAGTGTAGTGGTTTGAAGTAATTACTCTTCCAAGCAAGGTCATGGGTTCGAGTCCTAATATATGTGTAGTGTGTGTGAGTTTAATATATTATCACACCTCTCATAGTATAGGTCATAGAAAAATTCCAACTAATTTTTTTAGATCAGTACATTACAAATTTGTCTCTTCAATTAAAGAAATTGAAGAGGAAAACCCAAAGAGTTGTTTAGGCCTGGGTTTGCTTGGGAAACCGAATCATGTCGCTTGTCTTTTGACCCCACTAACTCAAACTTTGATTTCCTTTTAAACATATTTCCATAACTGATAAACATATGGACTACATTTGAATTGAAATAAGTGCCAAGTATGGTTGCAATGGGCTGTATATTTTTTATTGGCCGTCAATGGAAAGATTTCATTGAAATAAAAAGATAGAGAAAATTACAAATAGGCTAACCCAAAGAAGGCAGCATAAAAGATAAATACAACCAGATGAAACTAAAACTAAAAGCATGGATGAGAAGGGTATAAAACTAGGAGAATGCAACATATACACGTCGAGCCCCCAACCTTGTCAAACCCTTGGAGGGCATGGCAGGCCATCACGAGATAGAACACCCATTAAGGGGGATGGTGGTTTGGTCAGCCATACCTCGTCAATCATCCTCCTTTTCACCAAAGATGCCATTACATCTGCAACTGCATGAGTGCTTCTAGGAACCCAATGCCTTGTTACATAAACTCATAACTCGCTTTCCAAAATTATTAAAGGCAAGAATGACGGCATGCATAAAAGTAGTAGGAAAATCAATTATGTATGCAATTGATACGAAAAAAACTTGATGCATTAAAGGCTTAAATTCAGTAAACTTGATGGTGGTAAAGTAAAAATTACCCTTTCAAATAATTTTAAAACTTGTTTGGTTGGCAATTTTAAACATAATTTCTTTATATATATCTCTCTGAGAAAAAAAAATCTCTATCAAATTTAATCACAAATTACAACTCTTGTTAGCTGAAGCAAACAAGATTGAAGTGCAATTACATTTAATTATAACACAGTTTGGGTTTAATTGAAAAACAATAATTGAGTGCGAGAGCCAAACAACAATAATACTGAAAGACAGTTGGACGCTTTGTTTCTTTGTGTTCTTGACTGCTACCCCTCACTGATTAAGCGTCTCCTGTGCATTTTCAGTTTCTTCATTGCAGCAACTGCTTTTTCTGATTAAGAGTCTCCTGCGCACCTTCAGTTTCTTCATTGCCGCAACCAGCTTCTTCTTAGATTTCTTTTGCTTTACTTCCAAATTAAAAATCCAATCAAAAAACCAAAAAAAAAAAGAGTACTGCCTTCAGATTTCCTGGTTTTCGTTTGTCCCTTTGATTTCATTGTGTCATTTTTTTCCAATTCGTTGCTTTTCCTTTGCCATTGTTCCAAAGAGAACCTTAATTATTATATATAATTTTTTTTTTTAAATAAGCAGATTTTCTGGTTTTGGTTTCACACCCTTGATTTTGTTATGTTATTTTCACCTTCGTTTTGCTTTTACTTTCAAAGGAAAAAAAAAAAAGTAGTGGCTGTTCAGCTTTGTCTCATTTACTAGACCGATTGTGCTCCTGTGTTCTATAACCATAGCAATTTGAAGGGAACTGACCTCATTCGTAACCCAAAGAGAGAGGTTTTTTTTTGGGTCTGAAAATACTTCAATAAAAGGCACAAAAACCACCAGCAAAACAACAAGACAAAAAAACAAACAAGATGCTAAAGAAGCTTTAGGGTTTGACTGTCCCACGACTGATTGCATACTTGATAGCACATAGACCTACAACTGCCTCAGCTACCAAGGTGGCACTACAATGGAAAGGCGTTGCCAGCCCCCAACAAAACAAGCCTTCCTCATTTCTAAAGATTTGACAACGAGCATCTCCCTTCTAATAAACTGGCCCAAGCCCAGGATGCTCGAGCTCCCTTCTTCGCCTATGAAAAAATCACAATCCTGGAAATATCTAGCTTTCAGAATTTGCACAATCCTGCATTTGGATTTTGTAAAATTCTCCAATATTGTTTTGTGAGTAGAGCTGTATTGAAGGACATGAAATCTCGAAAGCCCTGACCACCCTCTTCCTTCTGATTGCACATACTCTCCCACGACTTCAAGTCAAGTTTGGAACTGTCATCCCCATTCTTCCACCAAAATCTAGCCAAATCTCCATTAATATCTTTACAAACAACAACATGGAACTTAAAGCAGGACATGGGATACGCCGAAATGGTCGTAGCCACCGCTTTAAGGAGGATTTCCTTTCCTGCCAAAGACATGAGGTTCTTACGCAACTTTGGAATGAGTCTCACCATTCCAAGCGTCTTATCAAACGTGCCTTTGACTCTATAGATTGAGTCGTCCCCATCATAACTTCACCACCTTCTTCTTTCTCATATGTATCAAACCACTCCTTGTATGAGCACATATGATATGAGCATCCGGAATCCAAAATCCAATCGGAAAAAGAACATCTTGAAGAATTACCAAATGCATTAGTTTTAACATTACTATTAATACACAAAAGCTCACCATCAGTATCTGTGACGACTCCAGTTGTGTTCGCTGCATTCTTTTGCTCTATTGCCTTTCTTGCCTTTAAGCTTCCTTGAACAGCTTCTCTCTCCGATTTTAACAAATAGACCTTTACCTTGAGAGCTTTCTCCCGAATGTTAGGCCATTCTATGGTGTGTTATAATGTCTTGCACCACAGACTGAAAATCCAGGGTAACATTCTCGAACTTAAGCGTAGTACGAAAGTGCTTATAGGACAGATGTAAAGATGTTAACAACACATCTGTTGAAACTACTTAAATGCTCTATTAACCTCCCTCCTTCATCCGAAATTTAGGAGCTCTTCCTTTAGAAAGAGTTTGTTGCACAGCGACTTCCCCGTAAACATCTCCTCAAGATTTTCCCACGTTAGCATCGTTGTATCTTGCATCACGTTTATGATAACCTCATCAGTGATGTAGTTTTCGATGGCTCCTCTGGCCAACTCGCCGAGTACATCCCACTCCTCGTTTGTTATGGTTGCTAACTTTTTTTCCTTTCCAACCAAAACAACAAGTATTTATAGAGGTTCAGCAATTTATCTACATCTTCTTTGGTGATCTCCCCGAGAAATTTCACTAATGAAGATAGGTTACAACTTTGGTTTGCCAATGGAAACCCCCTTAGAACACTAGCCTCACAATCTGTTTTTCTCACACCTCTTACACAACACTTTGATGCACTAGTGAACTCTCTCACACTTAGTTTTCCCTCTTCTCACTATAGCTTCAAGCCACACCTCTTGTCTTGCATTTGCTTCCCTTTTATAATGCTGGTGTAAACATACCTTTGAACCTAGGTGGAAACTTCCATTTGCTGCACACTCAACCTTCAGCCACCCTACATAGACCTATAGTTAGGGGAACCAAAAAGCAAGTCAGCACCTCCTAACTTCAGCCAACTTATCTAGAATTGAAGAATATGAGGCCTTTGAAACAAGTCAACAAACAACAATAAAGTGTTATCCCATCTCTCCCAGCAAATTGCCAACCTTCCTAGAACTCATAAATGACTTAAGAAGTTCTTGCAATTAGGTAGAGAATATAGCACATGGAAAAGAGTTTTGAAAAGGTGTGGAAAACGAAACAGCATGACTAAAGTGACCGATCGTTGTGACGGTGCAACCGGTCGCTTTGAAGTAGGTTCACTGGCATGTACTTATACTTGAAAACAACTGGTCGCAAGTAAAGGGCGACCGGTCGCTTTCTGGTGATTTTCAAGTCTTCCACTCTGCTTCCTGTTTAGGTGAGTCAATTTTTCCAACAATACCAGCATTTTCCGCTCCATTTATACCAAATTTCCCACACAATTGCTCTCTAAGGGGTTCAAGGATATTCGGGCTAAAAACCATATTAGATTGTTCAAAATTCACTTTCTGCACCGAAGCTAAACAATAATTGTTTAAAACCTGCATGAATCTATGACAATTCGTAGTCTCTGCCTTGATGAAAAATAGGGAATCATGTGCAAAACATAAGTGCGAGAGAGTGGGACTTCTTCTTGCTAATTTAACTCCTTGAATGTTGCCATCTCTAACTTTCTTGAACAGATTAATGGATAAAGCTTCACTGATTAGCTAAAAGGTAAGGGGATAGGGGATCCCCTTGTCTCAGGCCTCTCGTTGGATGAAAGAAACTCCCCGGCTTGTCGTTCAAAATGATGAAAAAGGAAACATATCTCACACAGACCAATCCATCTATCGTCAAACCACATTTTCAACATTAAAGCTTCCAAAAAATCCCACTCGACCCTATCATAAACCTTATTCATATCCACTTACCCGCTTCATAACAACTGCCTTTCTTCTTCATTTTTAGATAGTGGAACACCTAATGAGCCAAGATAATGTTATCTCATATTTGTCTTCCTGGGACAAAGCATTTTGATTGTCCTCTATGATGAAGGGAAGAATTTTCTTCAACCTATTCGCAATCACCTTGGCAAGGATTTTATAAGAGCAGTTACATAAACTGATAGGCCGAAATTGACATGTAGATTCCTGGGACCTTCGGGATCAAGGCAATGAAAGTTTTGTTGATCTCCTCCAAGCAGTTGAAACCGCACTCGAACTCTTCTGCTGATCTGGAGACAATGGTTTTGACAGTCTGCCAGTACCTTTGGTAAAAGTAGCCTGGGAAGCCATCAGCCCCAGGCGCCTTCCATGCCCCCAACTGCATAGCAACCTTTTGTATTTCTTCTTCATTAAATGGGACTAGTAAACTCCTATTCATCTCCTTCGAGACAATAGCAGGAATACAATCAATGATTCCTTCCCAGTTCCTTGGCCTAGAGGTATGGAAAAGATTATTGAAAAACACATGAAATTCCATTCTCATATTCTTTTCCCCAGATATCCAGACACCTCTATCATATTTTAGCTTCAGCACCCTATTTTTCCACCTGCGTTGGATTGTGGTAAGGTGAAAGAATCTTGTATTTGAGCCACCAGCTTGTAGCCAATTCACTGTCGACCTTTGCTTCCAATAAAGCTCTTCCTTTTTCCACATTTGTTCAATCTCCTCTTGGGCAGTGCTTTGTCTTTGGAAATCCGCATCGCTCATGTTTTATGTTGCAAGTCATGCACTTCGTTCGTAAAGGAGGAAATTCTCATTTTGCTGTTCAAAAAATTTCCTCTATTCCATACCTTCAGCGCCTCTCTGCATTTCATTAAGTTTACCACCCATTGTCTTAAAATTGTACCTCAACCATGGTCTGGCCAATTGTTTCTGATAACTTACTCACACTCATTCTCCACCCATTAAATTCAAAGCGAAATAATTTTATTGTTTTCCGACCATCAGGATTATTATATCCAAAATCAGCGGACAGTGGTCCGAGCCAATGCAAATGCAATGATTAATATGCTTTCTAACAATTCAGCATTGACTAACCCTTGGTCTAAATTATTCTCTGACCTGGAGTTGTCCATCACACCATCTTTCCCAAGTGTATCTCTGCCCTGTAAACCCAATATCAATCAAGTTCTGAGTTTCCAAACAGTTCATAAGATAGGTTCTTCCTCTAGAGGTGTCATCTCTACCTCCTTCCTTTTCACTCTGCCGCAAAATTTCATTGAAGTTTGATGTGATTAATTGCAAGTGGACAATATCGCTCAAATTAATATAGTAGTAAGTAGAGTATCGTTCCAACAGGGATCAAGTAATCTATTAAATACTAGAGTGATTTATTTCTAATTATATTTGAATTAAATGAAAAGAGAATTATGATGATTAAAATCTAATTAAGCAAGCAAAATAAATTGAGATTACGGAAATAATGTAAAAGATGAAAACAAAGATGATAAAGCACTAGGGCATCGATTTCACCTAGCTAATCCCTCCCAAATCCTTCTAGCTTGTTAATCCTAATTACCTAACATGTTGATAATCGTTCTTACCTCACTAATACTCTCTTCCGAGTTATATTAGTTGTATTCCTTACAGTCAACCCACTCTATTCCTAGTTATGGATTTAGATAGCTAAGAACCCATTAAGATTTGTGGAAAACAATGAAGATTACACAAACCATAACCTAATCTTCCGAGTCGGCTATGTAATTTATGGTACTTGTTACAAGAAGCTTTTTATTAGGAATCTCCTTCCGGTTTCAACCTAATTCTTCCAATCATGCAATTAGTGGCCAATTAATTGAAAGCTTTAAGAACGGTAACAAGCACTCAACATGTATAGATAAATAAAATTAACAATATCAAAGAATTTGAGTATTCATAGCTACGCTACATCGTAGCCCTAGTAAAAGGAATTAGTTCATGAAGGACTTATTGAGAATCTTGATGGTTGATGAAGACATGAAAGGCACCGAATTCTCCAAGTAGAATGCCAAGGTTGCACAAGCTTTCTTCGTATTCTCCTTTGGATATTTCAGCTATGAATATGTAGGATGATGGAGGATGGAGGATCATCGAACAATGACCTAAACTCCCTATTTATAATACTCCTACAAATCCTACCTATCTAAGGTATAATTACAATTATTATAAAAGTAGGATTCCTTCTAAAATAGAGTCTTCTTTATTTCTCCTTGTTTGACTTGATAAGACTTGAAACATCTTGAATTAGGCAATTTGACAACATTCCTTGCGACAAAATGAATGACTTGGCTTCTTGACTTGATTAATCTCCAATCTTCATCTTCTTGCCCCTTTTTAGCACACTTTCTCATATTTCACAATTCCTTCACAAATCTCACAAAACCAATTAAAACAACCAATTTAATCCAAGGAAATTAACAAATAGATAAGTAAAGGAGGCGTAAAATATATATAAAATATAGGCTTATCAAAGTCCCCAAATATCCTGTGAAAGTTTTCCCTCGAGACATTAACTATAGCCTCCATCCAGTGTCTACTCGAATAAATCTCAACTTCCACTCCTCGCTTCCACCACACACTCAAGCTGCCTGCAATCCCAATAGGGTCCACAGTATAACCCTTAAAAAAACCACATTGTCTCCTCAACATCTTATTTCTGTGATTGTTTTGTTTAGTCTCCATAAAATAAAATAAACCACATTGGGATTTTTGGAACGTAAAAGTTCCTTGAGATATAGAACTGTCAAGGGATTCCCCCACCCTTACAATTCCATGCCAGTTGTATCATGACTTTCTTGTGGCTGTTCCGGGCCAGCCACCACCACCCATTTCGTCATTGAGTATGCCATTACCAACACCTCTCAACTTCTTTTCTGCCTAAGCAAGCTCCTTCGATGGGCTTACCACCATTTCGCACAGATTGGCATTTGAGACTTTATAACAAGAGTCTTCAAATCCTTTTGCTCCTTTTGCATTACTACGTCCCTGTCGCCCATATGTTCTGCCTCTCGAACCACGACCTCTTCTGCTCGTGTATTTCAAAAAGCATCCTCTGCCAGTGCTAATATTAACCTTAGCCCTTTTTGCTACATTGGGCTCAATATTTTTATCATCATAATAATGGGCCTTATGTTTGCCTTTATATCCTGTGCTGGACTAACCAACTAAATTGTTCGTTGGGCATGTAGAGACAACGTGCGCATAATCAAATTCAGTTATCTCCCTTATTTGAGGAACCCCCAAACCCGCCCCTCTACCAACTCCCTTGGCTCTCTCCTCAGCTGGTTCAGGCCCAAGAATAACTGTCTTTGTCCTTTTACTTTCATTTATTTTTATATTACTCCATTTACTTAAGTTTACAATGTAAATAAGGAAGTACCCCCCATTTGGATTCAAATAAAAATACTAGAAAATCAAATTCCCACCAAATCAAAATATGAAAAATCGGTTTTAGTGCAAAATACGATTTAGGCTAAAAATGATGGCACATTAAATCAATATATACTTCATAATAAAATCCCATAAAATCAAGTTTTCTTATTTGATGTGTAAGGAATAAAAGCCGCCAAAAATTATCTTGAGAAAATGATTATTTCGAAAAATTATTTTTCATACTTAGTCAATATTTTTACATAAAATAAATTTTCATGTATGATATGAATGCATGAAAGACCTAAAATCTAAGTAAAAAGCCTTAGCTATTCAATCCACAAAGAATTTTTAGTCTTTTAAAATTGCACATCTGCTAAAAAATTCATGGGTCCGCCCACATAGTCTGCCCGTATATGCCTGCATAAAGAGCTTGCAGAGTTGGCAATCCCTTCAGTCCCAGGTTGCAGGTTGCATAGGGTTGTAGTGTTTAGAGCAGACGATATCGCAGGTTGTTCCAGCGAGGTCGCAAGTGTTTTTTTCCATATATTTCCTCTGCTTTTTTATGTTCTTATTTTTGTTATGGGTAGCTTTATTTGAACCTAATTAATAAAAATTTCATAAGTAAATCCAAATAATTTTTTTTTTCCATTAGAAATTTGTCCCTTCGATTAAAGAAATTTTAAAGAGTTAAAAAAATTAAAATACTACTAAAACAAAAAATTATGAGTGGTGATTTCCCCACTCCAATTTTATCCACTTACTCTCCATTTTATAACTAAAAAAAGAGTGTAAGTAAAATTGGAGTGGGGAAATCATTACCCCAAATTAAAGGCGAACTGTGGCCCAACTAATCTTTTTGTTTCGAGATTTGAGGGTCATGCATTTTGTTTCACTTATCTTCATTACTCTTTCACTTTACAGTTGTTTCCATAAGAAGCTTAATGAAAAAACGAAAAAGAAGTGTTGCATACTGATACTCTGTGTTCTTCTATTTAAGCTTAGTCTCACAAGCTAAAGTATGCCCTTTAGTTTCCTTCTTTAATTTGAATTGGTTAATTAATATTTTTTCTTTTACTCTTTTTCATTTTCTTGTTTTTGGGTTGGTTTATTCAACAGATACAAGGGTCTCATTCCAAAGCCAAAACAAAAAGAACCATGGAGATCCTCACTGGAATTATTTCTAAAATAATCGAGTACACAGTTGAACCAGTTGGGCGGCAAGTGGGTTATCTAATTCACTATAAAAGAAACTTTGAAAATCTGAGGAGCCAATTGGAGAACTTAGATGCTGCTAAAGACAGGATGAAGCATATGGTTGATGAAGATGAAAGAAAAGGTAAAAAAGTTTATACTCACGTCCAGAAATGGCTGACAGAACCGAATGAGATGATTCAAGAGGCAAATAAATTATTGGAAGACGAAGATCATGCAAAGACAAAGTGTTTCCGTGGAGTGTGTCCTAATCTGGTTTCCTATCATCAGCTTAGTAGGAAATCAGCAAAATTGGCAGAAAAGATTAAAGAACATGCAGAAAAAACTTTTCCCACTCTTTCTTATAATGCTCCCCTAGAGGAGATATGTGCCACGCCCTCTCAAAACTACATGGCCTTTGAATCAAGGAATTCAATTGTGGAGGAAATCATGGAGGGACTGAAACATCCTGATATCAACATGATTGGGGTGTACGGATTGAGTGGTGTTGGGAAGACCACACTCGCCCAAGAAGTTTATAGACAAGCTACAAAAGAGAACTTATTTGATGAGGTGGTTATAGTCTTGGATGTGAAAAAGTATCCAGACTTGGAAAAAAAGGAAAGAATTCAAAAAAAAATTGTTGAAAAGTTAGGTATGGATGTTGATGAAACTCATGATATAGACGCGAGAGCGAAGCATCTATGGAATAGAATAAAAGACAAGAACATTTTTGTAATTTTAGATGATATCTGGGAAGCAATTGATTTGGAGGCTTTGGGACTTCGCCCAATGTCGACTTGCAAAATATTGTTGACATCTAGAAAACGAGTCTCTGAGATGAATATGGAAAAAGAGTTTCGGCTTGAAGTTTTAGACATGAAAGAAAGGTGGAGATTATTTGAGAAGATGGCAGGTGACATTGTTGAAGATGACCGTATACATGAAGTAGCAACTTTAATAGCCAAAAAATGTGGAGGTTTGCCGGTTTCAGTTGTTGCAGTTGCAGGGTCTCTAAGATCAGCCACTACTTTAGAGGAATGGAGAGATGCCTTGAGGGACTTCAAAAGTTTTGACGAACATGGACGGACAAAATCAGCCTACTTGGCTTTAGAATGGAGTTACAATCGATTGGATGGCGACGAGCTTAAGCCATTGTTCTTACTGTGTGGAATTATTGCAGGGAGTACCTGTACAATTTTTCTCAATGACTTGTTGAAATATGCTATGGGTTTGAGTTTGGTGAAACATGTTGGTACAGTGGAAGAGGCACGGGATAAATTGATTTCACTAGCTACAAAACTTACTAAAGATTATTGTCTGTTGCTAGACATTGATGATGATGGAGATATTAGAATGCATGAGCTTGTGCGAGATGTTGCTATGGAGATTGCATCCAAAGATAATCACGCCATTGCAAAAGCATATGGAGATGAGCTGAAAGAATGGCCAGATAGGAATTCCCTTAAAAAATGCACTGCGATCTCCTTAAAATCTTGCAAGATCCCCAGACTTCCTGAAGAACCTTGGGTATGCCCAGAATTGAGATTTTTTGTCTTGGAAAATCATAATATTGATGACCCCTTGGAAATCCCAGACAAGTATTTTGAAGGGATGAAGGAACTCAAAGTGTTGGATGTAACCAAAATGCGTATTCAGTCACTGCCTCCATCTCTTAAATCCCTAACAAATCTTCAAACTTTATGTTTAGATGGGTGCGTGTTGGGGGACATAGCTCTAGTTGGACAGCTAACAAACTTGAAAATTCTCAGCCTTTTAAAATCTGAGGTGAGAGAGTTGCCCGAAGAAATAGGACAATTGACCCGTCTACAATTGTTGGATTTGACTGGTTGCTCTGAACTTGTACTGATCCCAGCTGGCGTAATATCAAGCTTGACAAGTCTAGAAGACTTGAGAATGGGAAGCTTTAAGCAATGGGAAGGTGAAGGTAGAAGAAGAAATGCTAGTGTGTCAGAGCTGAAGCACTTGTCTAAACTAACAGCATTAGAGATACAAATTCTAGATGCTAAGCTTCTTCCAGCAAACATGTTCTCGGATACAAGGTTAGAAAGATACACCATACTTATTGGTGATTGTTGGCTATATCCTAAAAATTACAGTGCCTCCTCTAACATGTTAAAACTCAAGCTCACTACAAACAGTCAATTCGACCAAGATATAAAATTGCTGCTAAAGAGATGTGAACATTTGGAGTTGGATGGAATGGTGGCTGCAAATATTATTTCCTATATATTAGCAAGTGACAGTGGTAAACAACTGAAGAAACTCCATGTCCAAAACAATGATGAAGTTACAGCTGTCATTAACTCTAGTCATGCCTTCCCCATTTTGGAGTCACTATCTCTTGACAACCTTGTTAATTTGGAAACTGTATGTTGTGGCCAACTCATAGATCAGCCTTTTCGAAAGTTACGATCTTTGACTTTGCGGAATCTGCCAAAGCTTATTGGTTTCTCCTCCAATGGCAGCAGGCCAGTTGTAACTACAGAGGCCGAAGAAATCATTTCGGAGAATGAAATTGGTGGACCCACGAAAGTTTTCATGGATGGGGAGGTACGATTTATTCTATATTTATTTCTTAAAAAATAAAGTTGCGTATTTTTCATTTTGGTCATTCTTTCTGCAGGAAGAAAATAATCCACTCAAATTAGAAAAAGTTACATATTCTTTCTGCAGGGATTATGTTGTACTAGAATTGAAATAATATTCAAGTTACAATTCATTTAAATGGTATATTAATTTATTAGTTTTTGACTGAGAAAGAAAAGGTATTAGTGTACAATATTCAATGATTCATATTATAACGAAAGCATGATTCATTCTCGAAAGTTTATTAATAATGAAATATGATCTTCAATCAAAATGAGTTATCGGTAGCACTTCAACTAGAATATCTTATATTGTAGATTAATAGACTAATAAACTTGAAGCCAACTTTTTCTTTTGTAATCCAAAATATATTTCCCTTCCTTTATGCATTATAAACTTCTTTCCCTTTCTTTATGCATTTATTTCCAATTAATGTGTCCTCCATTAATGAAAAAAGGTTTATGATATGAATATATATATACAGGTAGGATTTCCTGGCTTGGAGAGTTTGATCTTCTATGACCTACCTGCATTGAGGACAATATGGCACGACAGACTTGCCCCAAACTCCTTCTGCAAGCTGAGGAATGTTGAAGTTTCGGGATGCGACACTCTAATTAATATCTTTCCGCCAAGTATGATGGGAAGATTGAATGCTCTAGGCATATTAATGATAAAGCAATGCAAATCATTACAAGTAGTATTTGACTTTAAAGAAGCATTCGACACATCGAGGACTCAGTTGAAAACTTTTGAGTGCCCAAATCTGGGTTTTGTTGTGATGGATTCGTGTGAGAGTTTGAAAAATATCTTTCCAGCCTCAGTGGCCAAAGGTCTTCAGCAGCTATGCATACTGCATGTCAAGAAATGTGGAATATTGGAGGAAATTGTCGCCAAGGAAGGAGTAGAAACGACACCAACTGAGGAGTTTGTGTTTCCTAAAATAACATACTTGGAATTTAAATATCTGCCCCAACTGAGGAGCTTCTATCCAGGGCTGCATGTTTCCAAGTGGCCATTACTCAAATCATTGAGATTCTTTAAATGTGGTAAAGTGGAGATTTTCGCTTCTGAATATTCAAGATTCCAAGAAAGACTTGATTCGGGCCCTGTCTGTACACTCATCAAACAACCTTTCTTTTTAGTTGACAAGGTACATAATTCTCTTGCACTATTTGCTCTTGTAGCTAAATTTCTCTTCATATATTTTCTTTACAATTTTTTTTATTATTAAGTATTAGATTTTTCTTTTATTTAAATGATTTGTTGACCTCCACCTTGCTAAAATATGAATATGGGTTTTGAATATGTGAGGTTCTTATTTTATTCTTCTCCATAAGGAGGTATATATAAGAGTTTACATGAGTGCTTTACAAGGAATTAGATCCAGTAAAGAATTAGGAAAGTATCTCCTAATTATACAATGATTTGACAACTATATAAAATAGGAAAGTAAATCCCTTAATTAATCAAGAAAATAAATCTATAAAATAGGAAAGTAAATCCCTTAATTAGTCAAGGAAATAAATCTCTTTGATTAATTAGGAGACTCACTTCAACACACCTTGCCAAAAATTTTAAAGCACATTCGTCAAATAAAAACAATAGTCGAGGTTAAAGGGAGTAGTGATTTACTAACATATATATACTGAAAAGGTGAATTACACCTTTATTTCTTTTCCTTTCAGCATTTGTTTCCAATTAACGTGAAAGAAAAAGGTTTATTGATAAGTTCCTATGATGAATTTGTCCCATCTACAGGTAGGATTTCCTAGCTTCGAGAGCTTGATCATCCGTGACATGCCTGAGTTGAGAACTATATGGCACTGCCAACTTGACCCAGACTCTTTTCGAAAGCTCAAACTAGTTGAAGTTTTGAGATGCCACAGTCTAACAAATATCTTTGCGCCAAGTATGATGGGAAGATTGAATGCTCTAGTCACATTAGTGATAAAGCAATGCAAATCACTACAAGTAGTATTTGACGTTAAAGAAGCATACGACACATCGAAGACTCAATTGAAAACTTTTGGGTGCCCAAATCTGGAGGTAGCTATAATGGATTCGTGTGAGAGTTTGAAAAATATCTTTCCAGCCTCAGTGGCCAAAGGTCTTCAGCAGTTAAGGGAGTTGATTGTGTGGAATTGTGGAATATTGGAGGAAATTGTTTCCAAGGAAGGAGTAGAAACGACACCTGAGTTTGAGTTTCCTAAACTAACAACTCTAATATTTTGGACTCTACCCCAACTAAGGAGTTTCTATCCGGGACTTCATGTTTCCAAGTGGCCATTACTCAAAGAAAATAAAGATAGGAACTCCAAGGAGAATCTTGAGACTGTTATACCACACTTTCTTTTTGATGAAAAGGTGAATTATAAATTTCTTTCCCTTTCTTTTTGCATTATTTCCAATTAACGTGTCCCTCTTTAGGGAAGAAAGGTTTCTAAAATGAATATATATACAGGTAGGATTTCCTAGCTTGGAGAGATTGACCATCTGGGGCCTACCTAAGTTGATGACAATATGGCACGACAGACTTGCCCCAAACTCTTTTTGCAAGCTCATGGAAGTTGAAGTTTTGAGATGCGACACTTTAATTAATATCTTCGCATCAAGTATGATGGGAAGATTGAATGCTCTACACAAATTGAGGATAAATCAATGCAAATCAGTACAACTAGTATTTGACGTTAAAGAAGCATACGGCACATCGAGGACTCAATTGAAAACTTTTGCGTGCCCAAATCTAGAGTTAGTTACGATGGATTCGTGTGACAGTTTGAAAGATATCTTTCCAGCCTCAGTGGCCAAAGGTCTTCAGCAGTTAAGGGAGTTGAGTGTGGAGAATTGTGGAATATTGGAGGAAATTGTTGCCAAGGAAGGAGTAGAAACGACACCAACAGAGGAGTTTGTGTTTCCTAATGTAACACTTGCGAAATTTCAACATCTACCCCAACTGAGGAGTTTCTATCCAGGGCTGCATATTTCCAAGTGGCCATTACTCGAAGACTTGAGATTCTTTGAATGTGGAAAAGTGGAGTTTTTTGCTTCCGAATATTCAAGATTCCAAGAAAGACTTGATTCGGGCCTTGTCTGTACACCAATCAAACAGCCTTTCTTGTTAGTTGACAAGGTACATAATTTTCTTGCACAATTTGCCCCTGTAGCTAAATTCCTCTTCATATATTTTCTTTGCAATTTTTATTATTTTTAAGTATTACGTATTTTTCTTTTATTAAAATCTGCCACAGTGTTCCTTGGTCCCCGGTGACCAGGTGAACGCCACTGAATATAGTATTTAGTTATACAATTGGCCAAGTGGGTTGACAATGACATCCAGATGTTGATACTATTTCAGGATAATCCATTCCCCAAGTTGAAAAAGTTGGGTTTGGACGAGAACAAGGAGATTTGGTATGAAGCGCATAGTCCACTCCCAGCAGAGTTGTTTAGAAATCTAAAAATTTTAAGATTTTCTTGTGTACACCCCAACTCATTTGCTTTCGTCCAAAAATTACGTAGTCTTGAAGAGCTCATTGTTATTGGTGGTCCATGGAAAGAAATATTTGTGTATGAAGGAATTAGTAGCGGGGAAATAGATGCAGTTGGGAGGACCTTCCCACACATAAAGAATTTGGGTCTCATCAGAATGCAGGAGCTGATGCATCTGGGGAATGACGACTGCAAATTAATTTTTCCAAACTTGGAAATTCTAAAGGTGTGGCAATGTGGCAGATTAAAGAATCTAACTTCATCCGCAATATCCTTTCGGAATCTAACCACTTTAGAAGTAGGAGGTTGTGAGGGACTGAAATACTTAACAACTTATTCGGTGGCTAAATGCTTACACCAACTCACAGGGTTGGTAGTTTTGGATTGTAAAAGCATGATAGAGCTAGTGGCAAGCAACGGAGATGAACAAGATTCAGGAAATGATTACGAGATTGCTTTCAGTTCCTTGCAACATTTGAAACTTTCTGATCTACCAATTCTGCGAGGCTTTTGCTCATCAGAAATTTTCACTATCAGGGTCCCATCATTAAACTCCTTAATCGTCGAGAAATGCCCGATCCAGTTGAAGATTTCCCCCGATAAGTCACTGATCCAAAGTATTTCAAGACCAGAAAGACAGCAAATAACAGAGGAAGTGGAAGAAAAAGAAGAAGAAGATGATGACAATGAAGCGGGAAGCAGCTACATATTCCACTCCTTACTCCATAGTTTGCTCCGCACCCAGCTGTAAGTATATACAGGTACGATTCAACAAGTACGTAGTGGGTACCATTCAATAAATACCCAGCTGTTTCTGCCCTTGCCGTCCTTGCCGATCTGATCAATGTTAACTTTTGATATAAGCTTGCAAGCGGCCGCCTCAAGACACAAGCCCAAGAATTTGGAAATTGTTGTGTGATTTGTGTTGGCATTCAGGCATTCCAATTCCTATTGGCTTGTGTTGCCATGTCTATAACTGCTTTGTGATACAAGTGTGATTTATATCGTAGCTCTGTTGGTTTTGGGACCTCTCTAGTCTCTACTTTACACTTTACGGATTCGTTAGTCTCTCAGCTGTGTCTGCTATTGTGTTGGTTGCAAATGGAGTCTTCATCAGTTACCTCCTTCGTTAATTTTGGTTTTTCCCGCTATGTTCCGTTGCATTGGTGCGTGCACCTAGTGATTGGGAAATGCTTACTCTGTGATTTGTGCAATTCAATAAATTGTAATCAAACTCATAAATCTTGGTATTTCTTCCAGTACTCTGCTCTTTTACATGTGTCTTTTGTTGATCCCTCAAACTCATGAAGTTTATCTCGACAATATTTTCTTGAGAGATTGTTACAAAAAATTTTGCATGTTGGTGAAGTTATGAAAAGCCATGGCATAATATGCTGCATCAAACATACTGAGGTTGTATTACAAAGAACCATAACTAGTTCATAGAAACTTCTTTAGTTTCCAGTGCATATTCTTTGAGAAAAATAGGTCAATAGACATAAATAAACAAAACAAAATCACCAGACTAAAAGCAAACTTGTCAATGACCATGCATAATTAAAAGAGCAAGTCTACGAGAAAACAAAAAATGCTACATTAACCGATATCAGCTAACTTATATGTGCTAATATTGAAGAGACCAAAATCCTTCCAAAGGCAAGCCACACCACCCCTTCAACATCAAAATTTTGAATTGACTGCCTGATGAGCAGAAGTTCTTAGAAAATATAAAGAAAAGGGGCGGATATTTGGAAGGCGCCATCGCACACTATTTCTATGCATCAGTTATTGGGTACTCAAACACAACATCTTTTCCTGAAAGCTTCCTGTAAACTGCAGAAAAGCTCTCCAGCTTGTACTCCGTGTTGTTTCGTTCCTTGGGATCCAAGAAAACCTGCCCAGCATTGAAGAGAGATAATTATGGTACTTAACAAACAAAATCCTACCCTTGACAACCCATGCATGTACTTTTACAATAAATCCATTATAATATCCATCCCACCTAAATGTACTACGTTCTCAATTCATCTATTCCATTGGCAGTCTTTGGACATCTTCGTAACAAAATCTTCTCTTTGGTATAAGGTTCTTAGCCTTCATCTTTCAAGCATTAATCAACCCTTCTTATTTTTTTCCATTTCCAAGTGTTTGTGTGTGTGTGTATATATCAAACAATATTGTTTCCCTTTGACAGCTTACCTTCATTATCTTGGACCCATCAAGTCGATATCTAGTTCGTTTACCAACAATCTCAGCAGGCAAAACAACATCCTCCAACATTGCCTCATGCACAGCAGTTAGAGTACGAGTGCGGGGCCGTTGGACAGCAGACCCCTTCTTTGGAGGCCTCACTATCCTCCTTGTGGCAATCAGAACTACATCCTACCACATGACAAACAAAAATAAACACCACCAAAGAAAACCGCTATTTGCAAATAAACACATGTCTGAATCAGAGATCTACTCACTTTAATTATAGCAAAAATAAAGTAAGAGAAGAAAAAATAAAATGGGTTGACTGTAAGAAAAGTCAGCTAGGAAGATCAGAACACTAAAAGATAAAAATAAAATATCCTTGATTGTAAGGCACTAAATGTAGTGCCTAGAAACAAGTACAGAAAAACATCACAAAGAAAACCTAGTCTGGGTTAAATCTAGATTTCATAAATGGCAGAGAACCAAAGAACTTAAATAATCACCTTTCCACTGAATTTCTTCTCTAGCTCCCTCACAAGCCGAACATGGATCTTGCGATAAGCCTTCCTAAGTCTATATGGTATGTGGATAACAACAGCCTTCCGGTTCTAAGCCACATCAACTTGACTGGAGAAAGGAGGAATATTAATCATACAATGGCAACAGTTTACAATAAATAGTCATTCAGTAAACAGTTCATACACAGCTGAATTTATATATAGATCCTTCAGTTCAATTTTCAGATCCGAGTTTGTTTCCAAATCAAAGATTGCCTGCACTGACAACAAACAACTCATATTATATATAAATATCATAGCAACAATTTCATCAATAGAAAGCGCAATAAAAAGCTGCTTATCTTACCTGTCCAACTGACTCTTCGAATTCAGTGGGTTCAGCATCCTTGTCCTTGTGAATCTTCTTCCTTGACGTATACATCTTGACAAATCTGACTAAACAATTGGAATGAAACATAATTACAACTTGGCTTATTATCACAAAACATCCCTGACGTTTGCGAAATTATCACATTGCATCCGTTTTTTTGTATCATTAATGATCCCTAACGTTAATACAGGTACTCTTAAATAGTCCCTCTGGTAAAAAAAACCGTTAAATCCAAGGGTATAATCATCAAATCAATCCAAAACTATAATTATTTTTTCCTTCCCTTCTCTTTCTTTTCTTCTTCTTTCTTCTTTCTCTCCGCCTGGCCCCGCTCACTCTTCTTCTCTCTCTCTCTCTCTCTCTCTCTCTCTCTCTCTCTCTCCTCTAGCCACCCAAACCACCACCCCGACCACCAAAGCCACCGCCGTGGGATCTTATATCCCTGCCCCTCTCTCTACTCTGTCTGCAACTCTCTCCCTGCCCCCTCCCACAGCCCACCAACCCA